TTCGATCCGACCATTCTGCTAGGGCTGTCCCGCCGTCGCGTTGCACTGCTTCGATGCTGCATCATCTCGTTTCATCCAAGCACCTCATCAACCGACCAACCGACCAACCGATCAACCGATCAACCGACCACCAACCGACCAACCACCCACCCAACCACCCAGCCCGCCACCTCTTAAGACTCTTAGACGGGCTGCTGGTCGCGGGCCGCATGGGCTCACACGATTGACCCTGAGATCAGACCAGCATCGCAACGGGTCTGTATTGCTCGCAGCTATTCTGTTTGTCAATCTCGACGCTTCCGCAGCCCATCCATCTCATTCTACCCCAGCCGCTAGACAGCCTGTTGAAGATGGCGTCGCCCCCGGCCAATGGAGACGAATCGGAACCCCGTGTCGCCCCGTTCCTCTCCAGGAGTCGACCCCCTTCCCCCACCCATTTCCCTGGCTTCCTAAATCTTGACGTTGTAGATGAGAAACTTAGGTGTGCATCGTCTCGCGTAACCCCCCATGGGATCCACACCAAACTAATTCCAGACGCAGGCAACGCACCCTGTCCCCAGAGACTCCAAGCGCTGAAAGGGAGCGCATGAGAGCTCGCAAACCCTTTGACGAGCTCGTTGAGTTGGGGGGCATACCATTGCGGCCTTTGGATCGACTTCCGGGCTGAAGACCTCACGGATGCTCAACGAGGCGATGATAACGGAGAAGAATGGATGCAATGTCGTTATATGGACGAGGGAATGTATTGGGAGACCCAGATGAGGCTTTGGAGACGATTTGCAAAACGGCCGCAGTCAAGACTTCTGAGCCTAGCCTTCGCACCCTAGAACCTATGGCCGCTGTCACAGCATTCATTGCTACTTGCGAAGTCACTGCAGAAGGGATATGGAGGAACCGTGTCAAGCCCGGGTACGAGATATGGGCCGACTATTCTCGCATGGAAGTGCATAGAGAGTTTATAGAGAATATCGTGGAGGCCCTTCCCCTTGCCGTCGCCCTCCTCAAACAATTGAGGAGGGATGCTGGGGACGGGGACGCACTAGAGGCACCCGAGGTCACCCGTGAGGGGCTCATGGAGGAATTCAATATCCCCCACCCCTTCATCTGGATGGACCTCTGGAACCGCACCCAAGCGTCATTCTCCGACTCTGAGCTGGAGTCGCTGCTTGGGGTGAAACGGCAGCGAGATGACGCCAACGGAGATGAAGATGATGAAGACGAAGAAGACGCAAGGCCCGCAAAGCGCTTGGCGTTGAGTGTAAAGCTGAGCGCGGAGAACGCTAAGGAGGACCAGAAGGAACAATACCGAAACGCACAACAGGATGCCGAGCCGCAAAGTCTCGACTCTAGCAAGGGCCCCGCAACACCAACCCCCAAGAACCTGAGCCAGACGGAAACTGAAGGAGGCATGCCAGTTCTCAGTAAAGAACATACGGTTGAACATACGGTCGTAGATGATCGCAGTGCCGCCGCCTCCACCAACCAGAACCCTCCTCGCTCCGCGACACCCACCCCGACGCAGTGACCACACGCGTGAGCAGCCAAACCTACTAGGGGGGCAATCGGGTTGCCGTTCGGGGCCCGCCCAGCGGATGATCTTTTGGGTTCTGGCTTTGGGTGTTAGTTTTGGGTGTTAATGTCTTGCGGATTGGAGTGCTGTGGGGCTGCATTGTTGATATGTGTTGGGTTTGGAAC